TATTAGTAAAAGAGGACCCATTAGCATGAGACAGAAGTGCTGAACATTGGAGGAGGAGAAAGCCGAGCCCAAGAAGTTGGAGGACGGGGAGAATATGTTCTCCTCGCCAATGTGATCTTCTGGTTTCTAACGGTCGAAAGGTTTCAAAGGTTAAAATGCTCTTCTGCATCCCTTTCTCTCCCTTCAACAATCCTGCTCATCCAAAGTTTGGGGTCACGTAGCTGCAGCTCTTTCGATGCTCTTCTGGTGCGACTTCACTGCAGCTCCTGATCTGCTCACAGCAGGGCCAGAGGATGACTGCAGAGGCTTCCAGCTGCGGCTTGTTACGCAAGCAGGCAATGCCCCTCTTTCCCCTCTTGCTGCGTTTCATTTTTGAAACGCCTGGCACACGTGCGCATGGGTGGAGCTCGGAAGGCATTCCTAGAACCGTGTGGGACAAGTTGCTGCATTCCTGAGATTCTTGACCATTGCCTAGGTCACTTTGAAAAGCCTGATGAAATCTGGATGTGATCCTTAAGATAAACCTGTTTGTAGTCATGCACGCAGGTGAACAGGCATGAGAGTAGGAACAATAGGCAAGCCCAGCTGACTTACTTATTTTTTTTCCATTTATATCCTGCCTTTTTCCTACAAAGGGCTCAAGGCAGCTTGCATCATTCTTCTCCTCCATCTCATCCCCACAACAACAACCCTGTGAGGTAGGTTGGGCTGAGAGTCTGTGACTGGCCCAAAGTCACCCAGTTGGCTCCATGGCTGAGCGGGGACTAGAACCCAGGTCGTCTGAGTCCCAGTCCCATGCTCTGAACCACTACACCACACTGGCAAAAGTGCCCAGGACCAAAGTTTTTGCTGGCCCCCAGGCCAAGGTGCATGGCACCCAAATCTAGCCAAGGTATTTTGGTACAAGAGGCAGCCCCCCCACCCCCAACCTCTTCATTTATGGCAGCGGAAACACAATAAGTTTTGCATGCCTGGGCTCAAATAATCAATTCAGAGGAAGACTGCAGCCAAGAAATTCAAAGAAGACTGAAACTTCGCAAGCTGGTCACGTAGGAACCGGAAATGATGAGCAAGAGTAAGGGCATTTCATTGGAAACCGAGGCCAAGATCATCCGCACTATTATTTTCCTAGTCATCATGTAGGAGTGTGAAAGCTGGACAGCGAAGAAAGCTGACAAGAAGGAAATGGGTGAGCATGAAACAAGGTGCTGGAGGACAGCTTTGTAAATACTATGAATTGACAGAAAGACCAACAAGTGGGTTTTACACCGGATCAAACTGGAAGTGAAAAAGGCAGAACTGATGCAGACGTACTTTGGGCACATCATGAGAAGCCATGACTCAGTGGAGAAGACCATCCGGTGTTCTGGCTGGACATCAGGAAAAGCTTCCTCGTGGGCAGGGCAATACGACAGTGGCACCAGCTGCCTGGAGAGGTGGTGGCTCTCCCTCACTGGGGACATTCAGAAAGAACCTGGGCGGCCCTCTGCGTGGGGCGGTGTAACGTGGTGTCCTGCACCTGCAGGGGGTTGGACTCGGTGGCCTTCAGGGCCCCTTCCAGCTCTGTCTTTCTATGATTCTATGATCTTGCTAGGGAAAGTCAAAGGTAGACGAAGACCAACTATGAGATGAGTTTACAACTTGAGTTTACAAGAGCTGAGCGGGGCTGTGAAGGACAGGGCTGCGTGGAGCGCATTCATGAGTCACAGGACTGGACAGCACATGACAACAAAATTGCTGTTTGCTCTCCTTTATCTGAATGTCTGCTGCCCGAGGCAGCCATCTCAACTGGCCAGAGGGCAGGAGTGTTCCTGGGTCTCTGTGTCGATACTGCATCACCACACACCAGTGTCCTTGGGTGCCCATAAACCTCCGAACACAGAGCCCTCCGCGTGTCCAGGGCAGGGGCAAGAGGAAGTCACTTTGAGACTGCTTTTTGTGGCAGGCACTGGCACGGGAATGCAATAACAAGCAAATGAAACGCATGGGAGCACTTGCTTGTACCCAAGGGACGCACATATGTGTGTGTGAACATACATGCTGGGGTTAATGAGAGTCAAATGAAAAACATGCTCTGCATGTGAATGACACGTGTGCATTGGGTGTCAACGGTTTAAAGAATGTAAATCGATTGCTCATCTGAATTCGGCTTGATTTGGGGGTTATTAACAGCTGATTAGATTTTTCAAATTGGTTAGAATGGCATGTAATGTTCTCTAATGAATGCAAACGAACAATGCCATCGCACGTGCCCAGTTGGGTTGGTGAGCAGGCGGGTGGGGCTGCTCCCCCTATTATTGGTGGTTGGAACACCACCTCTTTGAGTGCACAGGTGCCATTCAGCACTGCTTGGCATCATGCCCAGGGGTGTCCTTTAGCTCTTGATCACTTGTGAAACACAGCCAAGGAAATAATTGTGTGCTTCGTCACCTAAGATCCCTCTTGATTGGTGTTTCCACTGTGTGCTGTTTCACATCCTTAACAATATCACTGAGGCATTGCAATTGTAGCTACAGGAATATATTGAGACAGAGGCGGGTAGAGGAGGATCGAATGAACCAGGAAATACCATTTGTCCAGGTGGAAACAAAGCAAGCAAAGCAAACCATGACTCAGGGTCATCTTTCAGTGCTCTGTTGAGGCCAGTGCGCGCGCACATGGTCTGGAATGTGTCCTTATGTTTAATGTGCAGGGTTTTTGGTTTAATGAGAATAGAACTAGTCTTGTCGTAACTTCCAGCATTCGAGAACATTGGCTGGCTGGGCTAATAGGAGTTAAAGTTTGGAATAGGAAGAGGGCGCCAGTCTGGGAAGGCTGCTGTGGCTGAAAGGTTGTAGAGTCCAAGTCCAGGTGTAATTTAAGAAGGAGCCTCAGAGCTGGAAGGAAACCTCTGGTACCTGGGAGCAGCAAGGCACTTGCTCACAGAATTCCTCACTATGGGGAGATGTGCTGCATTTCCATTTAAATTTTAGGCATTATTCCTGAATTTGCATCTAAACAAACTAGCACACACAAACTTATGCAAAACAATGTCCTGTGCAATCCTCTTTTTAAAATGATGGCTTTCTGCCCTTTCTGTGATGTGTAAGTAGCTGCCACGCTCCTTCTGGGGCTGTTGTGAAGGTAAAATGGGGATCGGAGAGAACCGTAATTGCCGCCCCGTTTGTTGGGAAAAGGCAGGCATGGAAACAGAAGGAAGAAAAGAAGTGGGAGCATGTGAACAGGAATGCGGCAAGCAAAGATTTGTTCCCATAACAGCAATTTATGCATTGCAGCAGTTTCATTTTATCCATGCAGCTCCAAAAGGAAACAGTAGTTTTGCTGGATGCACCTGGTGTGTGGGTGTGTGTGACAATTCTTAGGTTTTCAAGGAAGAGTGGAGAAAGAAGAAAGATGCTCTGCTTTTGAACTTTCCTCCCAACTCTTAAAGGCTGGGTAATGTCTGGCTATGAATTACAGTTAGACAAATTTGTAATTGCCTCGGAGTGAGTATTATGATGGACAGTGGACCTGTTTTTATTGCAGGCTCCAGTTTCCCCTTGGACTTCTGCAGGGAATGATTACAATTGGTTATAATAAGCACTTTGCAGGCTCACATAATATACTTGCCACCTGCTCACTGCCAAAAGTAGCTTCCCTGATTTTCGGGTTGCTACCAATGCTTTTCACAATTGCATTTCAGGCACAAAGTTAAGATGCAGTTTTATTTAGTTTGTAATTGTTATTATTGCATTTATGTCTGACTCTTTTCCCTCCTTACAAGAAACTCCAAAGAGCTTGCATGAGGCTGCTTGTCTCCATTTTGTCCTCACAAGGACCCCAGGGTTGGGTTAGGCTCCAGCTCAGAGCCTGACCCAAAGCTTTGTAGCTGAAGGCGGATTTGAACCCAGACTCTCTCTCTCCACTATGCAACACTACCTCTCTGGTTTTCCCCATTACTTTATCTCATTCTTCATGCTAGAAAAATCCTCACCAATTGCATTTCTGGCTTATTTTTGTTTTAAATAAAGGGAAAGGGAAGGGCACTGTCTGGAGTCAGAGGATTGTGCTGCCCTTTACCAAAAACCCTGGGGGAGGGGAGGGTTAAAGATTTTTCTGCCCTCCTTCCAGCTGCCAATGTGGAGATCTGTCTTCCAAGCATACACTGTTTGTGGAGTTTCCCCCATGGCAGTTTCAACTTGGCAGATTCAGACTGGCAATCACAGATCTTTTTGAAAGAGAGCTTCCCAGGAATTTATGTTGGTTTTGGCCATTCCTTGTTTAGAAGCTAGTTAAATATTCATTGGGTGGAGTGAGGGGCGGGGGGGGGAGGCATGGATACGCATTTTGCATGAACATATCCATTCACATCCTATGGGAAATTCTTTTCTTTCTCTGCTCCACCCACCCAGCACCTTGTTGAATCTCTATGCATTTCTATGCCAGTCCCTGGTAGACTGGATATGAAAAAGATGCACACTTATTATGGGATGCCTCTCATGCGACTTTAGTGAATAGTATAGCTAATTTACCTCGTCTGCTTTTAAATTTAATCTATGGGGATGATACAATAGCGGTGTAGCCATTGCACCTTGATGTTGTTATAAATTATAGTACAGTTACGGTTATTATTTTACAGAGGGAAAAAAGGTTGGCTGGAGGCTAAACTGGGATTATCCCACTGATAATGCACATATGTTAACAATCGAGTTTAAAAGCTGACATGAGGCAGAAACAGTTGTCTGGGCTACAGTACACATTTTTTACATGTGTCTTGTGTGGATGATCATGACTTTTAGTGTAAATGCATGGGACTCGAATCTAGATCTGAAGCACCCCAAGTAGGAACCTGTTTATTTTCAAAATCTACCCACCCATCCACTTTCTCAAGAAATACTTTGGCCTAC